GGGAGGTTCCTGAAGGCCTCTGGGAGTTTCCTAGGGCTTTCTGGGTGGTCTTTTGGCTGCTGCTTGGAGGCTTCTGGGAGGTTTCTGGGGGCCTCTGGCGCCGAAAGCTCGTAGGGTCTTCAGTCTGGGCGCCCTCCTTGGGCCGTCTTTGGGGCTTCTGAGGCCGTTTTGGAGGCCTTTTGGTCCGTCTTGGGGCTGTTTGGGGTCGTTCTGGGGCGCTGTTCGAGGCCTGTTGGGCTATCTTGTGGCGTCATTGGGGGCGTCTCGGGCGAGTAGGAGCATCGGGATGCCGAGATAGCAAGAACGCCAGAATGGATCAAGAACCTGCGCGAAATCTACAAAATTTGCTTCTCGGGGCTCGCTTGGGAGCGCTCTTGCAGGTTTTTGGGGGCGTCTTGGAAACGTATTGGGCCGTCTGGAGACTGTTGTGGCGTCTTGGACCCATCGTTTTCGGATTCGGGGCGCTTGTGGACCGTTGTGGGCCGCTCTTGCGTCTTGGCGCTTTTCTGGGCCCCGGGACCGCCCGGGGGAGATGCGTATCTGTGTGGCGACCCTCCTCAGGACCGCCCTCCTTGGCGGGGAAGGGATTAAAGGGAAGGGGCTTCCTTTCGATTCAGTTACGACGTTGCTCAATGTTGCATTGCCTTCGACTCATCTACAACGTTGCTCAATTTTGCTTTGGGTGGCGCGCTTGAGGAGGAGAGCCCAGATGAAGGAGACGGGGGACGGACACAAAGCGTCTTCAACACGCCGACAGGGTCGGCGGATTCTCCTGCACCTTGTGTCCAGAGATCCAGCTACCAGATTTTCGCCCCTCACCGCCCTCACCCCAGCGTTCCCCAGCAGCCCAGCGCCCTCCACCACGACCCCTCCGACGCGAGCATGTCATGTTCGCGTCGCACCGCCCCCCTCCGCTACGCGTGTCCCAGCAGCCCAGCGTTCCCCAGCAGCGCAGTGTCCCCCAGCAGACCAGCCCCCCCTCCGCCCCGCGCTCTTCCGCCCAGCCGTCTCCGCCCCGACCAGTTCATTTTCGCATCGCACCGCCTCCCCCCCCCGCACCCTCCCCCCAGCGTTCCCCAGCAGACTAGCCTTCCCCAGCCGCCCAGCGTTCCCCAGCAGCCCAGTGTCATCATCGCCCCGCCCCTCCGCCCCGATTAATTTATGATTGCCTCTCACTGCCCCCATCCTCCCGCACCCTCCCCTCCCAGCGTTCCCCAGCAGCCCGGCTTTCCCCCGCAGCTCATTTTTCCCCAGCAGTTGAGTGCCCCCTCCGCCCAGCGCCCCTCCGCCCACTCCCCCTCCGCCCTGACAAGTTTTCTTTCGCGTCGCACCGCCCCCCCAGGTATTCGCCCAGCAGCCCAGCGTCCCCCAGCAGCCCAGTGACCTCTCCGCGCCGACCCCCTCCGCCCCGACCACTTGATTATCTTGCACGCTGTGTCCAGGGTTCCGATGATTTTCATTTTCGCGCCGCACACCTTCCCTCCGCCCCCACCCCCCAGTGCCCTTCACCGACTCCCTCCCCTCCCCCCCTCCTCCCCAGCAGCTGACGTGCCCTTCTTGCCCAGTGGAACACAGACATTCACCTTCGCGCCGCGCCGCGCCCACCCCGTTCCCCAGCAGCCCACTGTTCCCCAGCAGCCATATGTTCCCCAGCAGCCCAGCACCCTCTCCGCCCACTGCCCCATCCGCTTCGACCCCCCAGCGTTCCCCAGCAGCCCAGTGCTATCTCCGCCCCGTGCCCTCGCCGCCCCAGTCACTCTATTTTCGCGCCGCGCCCCCCCCCCCCCAGCCCCTCCCCCCACTCGCCCAGAGTTCACCAGCAGCCCAGTGCCCTCTCTGCCCAGTGCCCCCTCCAAGCCGCCCCCCCCCCGCGTTCTGCAGCATCCCAGTGCCCCTTCCGCCCCGACCACTTTCTTTCCGCGCCGCGCTCGCTGCCCCCCCCCCTTCCCGCTCCCTTCCCCCGTCTTCCCCACCAGCCCGGCGGACCCAAGCAGCACAGTGTTCACCAGCAGCCCAGCGCTCTCTCCGCCCAGTGCCCCGCCTTCCGCCCCGACGCCTCGTCGTTCCCAGCAGCCCGGTCCTCTCCCGTCTCCTTCCCCCGCCCCCTCCCCAACAGCCCAGCGCACCCCAGCAGCTGGCGGCCTGGCGCCCTCTCCGCACAGAGCCCCTTCCGCCCCGACCCCACAGCGTTCCCCAGCAGCCCAGCGCCTTTTCCGCCTAATGCCACCTCCCCAGCGACCATTTTCTTCTCTCGCCGCGTGGCGCCCCCCCCGCCCCCGCCCCGCCCTCCCCCCAGCGTTCCCCAGCAGCCCAGCGTTTCCCAGCAGCACAGTTTTCCCCAGGAGCCCAGCGCCCTCTCCGCCCAGTGCCCCCTTCCGTCCCGATGCCCCAGCGCTTCTGAGAAGCACCATATCCTCCCCGCCCAGTGGCCCCCTCCGCCCCGACCATTCTATCTCTGCGCCGCGCCGCCCCACCCCCGTTCCCCAGCAGCCTGCGTTCCCCAGCAGCCCGGTGCCCTCTCCGCCCCGACCAGTTTATTTTCGCCTTGCTCCGCGCCGCCCCCCACACGCCCCACGCCCCCTTCGCCCGACGCTCCAGCCTTTCCCAGCACCCCAGCACCCTGTCCACCCAGTGCCCCCTCCGCCCCGACCAGTTTCTTCTTGCGCCCTGCCCACCGCCCCTCTCCCCCCGCCCCCTTCCCCTGCCTTCCCCGCCAGCCCAGCGTACCCCAGCAGCCCCGTGTTCCAGCAGCCCAGCGCCCTCTCCGCCCCGTCCACTTCATGTTCGCGTCGCTCCGCCTTCAGCCCATTCCCCCCCTCCCCCAGAATTCCCCAGCAACCCAGTTTTCCTCAGCTGCCCAGTGCCCCTCCCGACCCGACAATGATACGCTCGCGCCGCACCGCCCCCGCCCCCATCAATGGCACGCGTGCCACCCGCCTATAAGGATAAGGGGTAGAGGAGGAGACGGAGGAGAATTAGGAGGAGCGGCGACGGACTGGCGCGCTCCCTGCCAAGGAGACGCAGGCGGCGTCCCGGAGGCAGTCCCCGGGGGGCCAGGCCTTCTCTGCCGCCCCGCACCCTCGAGGAGGAGGACGAGGATGAGGAGGGGGCCCCGGTGCAGCAGGAAGAGGACCAGGATGAGGGGGAAGGGTAGGATGAGGTTGATGGTGATGACAGTAAGGATGATGGTGGTGTTGATGGTGATGTTGGTGTTGATGTCGATGTTGTTGTCGTTCAATTCTCATTTGCTATGGACAGTCAATCATTGGTACCCCCTCCAGTGCACTTGGTGTTTTTCAACTGAATTGCCCCTCCAGGGTCTCCCACCCGTTTTTTGGGCACGACGGAAAGTATTGCGCCTCCGATTGTGTTGTTGGCCCCCCAGTTTGCAGAAGCAGCGGCTGCCGCATGATACGTCTCCGCATGTTATTCAACATCGCGCGCTCGCGCGGGAATTTCTTGCAACTTACGCAGGAGTCACGATCTCGCGTTGGACTTACTCGCGATTTATTGAGGCGCCGCGCCATCGACACTCAAGAATCACGCTCCCGTTCTTCACCACCAACCAGACCACCCCAACCCAACCCGAAGGCCACGATTTGCCCTCCATTTCCAGTGGGGGGGGGTCGGGGAACATATGAAAAAACACATATGGAACCCGTACCCCCCCCCAACCCGAAATTGGGGTCTTCGGGTTGGGTTGGGGTGGTCTGGTAGGTAGTCAGTTCTGGACTTCCTCACGAGCTATTGCTCGAGACTTCCTTGCGATTCATGCAGGACTGACGCTGCAGCGACCCGCCTGGTTGACCTGGCCATCTTGGCTCGCCAACCCGACCCGGCCGTTAGGGTCCGCCTTGCCGACCCGCCCGTCTGGTTATGTTTTTTTGTATGCTCCTGACCCCCCTCCTGCTAACCTCTCTCCTCCTCCATCCTTCTCTCCCTTGTTCCATCCCTCCTCAATCCCTGCCCCTGTGTTGGGAGCTGCGCCAACTTCACATGGCAGGTAAGGATACATCCGGTACCCCAAAGGGGAGTACGGTGAGAATTTGCGATATACATGTTGGATGACACGCCAGCAGATAATGGTCATCAGTCTTTATATGATTCGCAAACCTCTTTATGCAGTTGCCCGCCCCAAGCGTAGGGGGAAGGGCAGAGGAACCAGGCCTGCGTCGGTCGGCCACCCTGGACAGCACGGTAGTCTCATCGATAGTGGGGACATCCGAATACCGCGCTGAAGAGACAGCCCTCGTGCCCCTCCTGCGCTTCGTCCTCGTCCCTCGTCCTCCGTTTGTTTCCTGCGGGGTTCAAAAAAACGGGCGAAAACGCCCTGCACGATCAAATTGCAACGCCTGGATCTCAAGGAACGTTACACGCCGGTCGTTGAAAGTAGTTATTTTTGGATTCCCAGAGCCCAATCTAATTCAAGCGCCTTCATACTTTAAGAATCGACACGCTTTTGCTGTGTTTTGATATTCTCTGGGGGGGGGCCTGGACCCAATCAACTTAATCCGCCCTCCTATTTCATGTTTCTACCTGCCTCTTCCGACCGACGTACCGACGTGTGACCCTTGATGGGCGGCAGGCGGAGCCACCGGCCGGGCGCCCTCGGCGAGGCGCAGCTGCCGGAGATCACCCCGAGGCTGGAAGTTCGCCGAAAACCAACGAGACCGCTCGAAAACCTGGAGCATCGAGCCCGAGGCGTCTCCTGTCGCCCCCCCCTTCCCCCCCCCCTCCTTTCGGGGGAGCGTAAGACCCGGGTTTGCCAGGACTCGGGTTCGCCATTTTTTTTGACGACCGCGACTCGGATTTTGACGAGTAGGAGTTTCGTGGGATGTCTGCAGCGGGAGGCCTCGTCAAAATGCAGGCTCGGCCTCGTCATTTTTTTGACGACCTCGTCGGGGATTTCCGAGTCCCCCGTACCCGGGTCTTACGTCTCCCCGATCCTTCCCCAGACGTGGCCGCCCCCGCTGCCTTCCGGGCGGGCGCCCCCTCCGCAGGCGGACCCGCCGGCCCGGCGCCCGAGGGCCTGCCAGCGGAGCCGGGCGCCGCCTCCGAGGGCCTGCTGGCGGAGGCCACCGCCAGGCGGCGCCGGGGGGGCGCCGCGGGAGCGGGCGCGGGACGTCCGCAGAGAGAGCGCGTCCTCCGCCCGGTGGCTGCAGCGGGCGTGGCTGCAGTCGGCCCTGGTTCGCAGGCCGGCCCTGCCAGATCCAGGGTGCCCTTGCGTCCTGTGCCTCACGGCCCATGCCTTCCCGCACTCCTGTGGCAGTGTGGCCCTCGGAAGGATCTCGTGTCCTCTCGCGTGTCCTCCCCAAGCAAGTCCGACTGTACGCCGGAGGAGCGGTCGCAGCACGTCTGATGAGAGAGTGCATATTCCTCTCGGTGGCTGCAGTGGGTATGGCTACGGTAGGTTCGCGTCGTGTCGACAGGCGGCACGCCGCTGGCGTTCCACGTTGAACGCCGCCAACGACCCAGAATCGGTCGATGTTAAACGAGCTGGCGCTTCGGAAACAGCCGATCGTTTCAGGTTGAACGATCCCCGCGGTGTCAGGAACTAACGCCGAAGTCGGCACGATAAGAACCTGTCGTACGCCAGGGTGTGGTCTGCGATCGACGCAGTTGGGGCTTAGGGGTCGCCAAGTTGCGTCAAAGGTTCGATGAGCACACGTCGGGGCGCGGCGGTGATCTCCGTCGAGGTACTCGCCCGCCCCCCAGGCGCGGGTTGCAAACCACACCCTTTGCAAACTACACCCTCCGGAGTCGCCGATCATCATCCATCGGGACGGCCATTGGGACAACCATCGGGTCGGCCATCGGGTTCGGGACAACCATCGGGGCAATCATCGGGATAACCATCGGGAAAACCATCGGGCCTGGAACGTCTGAAAGAGCGCCTCCTGCCGTTACTGGTAAGCCCCCCCCCGTTTCGGTCCAGGGGGGGGTGAAACAGCCTCACTCCGAACTCGGGGGTGGTGCTCAAACAAAGCTAAAACAAGGCTCGACCAAAGGTCCAACAAAGGTCCAACAAAGGTCCAACAAAGCTCCGGCAAAGCTTCGACACAGCTCCAACGAAGTTCGACAATAATTTCAACATATATCCAACAAAGCTCCAACAAAGCTCCAACAGCGTTCAAACGAAGGCTCCACACCACCGATACATTCTGGAACGATACGCGCGCGCTCATAGGACAGTGCCAGACATGGTCCTGGTTATGGTGCTATGCTCTGGTGTGTTGTGCTATGCTATAGGAAGTGATACAGCGCTCTGCCTTGTTATGTTTTGTCATGGTATAGGAAGAACTCTGCTGTGATGCTGTGTTGGTGTGGCTTGTGGTGCCATTGTGTATCAGGTGATGCGTTGCCACGCATGTTATGGTATGCTCTGTTATGTTATGGTTTGGATGCTCCGATCTGTCATAGCATGTGTTGGTATGATGTGGTGTGCTTTGATATGCTATGCCATGTTGTGTGATGTTGTGGCATGTTCTGCTTGGGCATGTCCAGTGCTGCGTTGAGTTGTGATGGTATGCTGGGTTAGTCATGCTATGACATGATATGTGCTGCGATGTTGTGCTATGGCATGCGCTGCTCTGTCATGGTGAGCTATGTTACGATATGGCTGGTCGAGATATGGTATGTTATGCTCGGATGTGTTCTGTTATGTGGTGTTGTGTTATGCTCTGTTCTGTGGGGGGCCTGGGGACCTGGCGGTCGCGGTATGCAGAGGAGGCGAGTCGGCGCGGGGGGCGGGACCCTCAGGGATTATCGGGGGACCGTGGGATTTGGCGGCCGCATTCTGCAGAGTGGGCGAGTCGGCGCGGGGGGCGGCACCACTCGGGATTATCGGGAGTTTGGGACGGGACCACCAGGAATTATCGGGAGCCTGGGGATTTGGCGGCCGCGGTACGCAGGGCGGGCGGGTCGGGAGGGTTGTTCGTAAAATCAAAACGACCCCAACATGTCGGGTCGGGAACACAGGCTCAAACAAAGCTCCAACAAAACTCAAATAAAGCGGGTGGGGGATCGTTTCCCCCCCTTCCCCCCCGTTCGATCCGGAGGGGGGTGCAGTTTGCACCCCCCTTCCCCAGTTCGAACCCGGGGGGGAGGGGGTTTTGTGCCCCTACCTCCCGTTTCCGTGCAGGGGGAGCCCCCCCCCTTCCCCCGGTTCGACATGGGGTGGGCGGCTTCTGTGCTCCCCCCCTTTCCGGGCAGGGGGTTCCCTTCTCTCCTCCCCTGGTTTCCCAGAGGGGTGAGATTTTGATCCAGGCAACCGACGGTTCGGAGGGGAGGAGCCTCGGGAGTCTTACCCTGCGATTTGGGCTGCGGGCGTTGCGATCCCACCCCTGCACCTGACGAGCCCGAAGCTGGTGAGGTTTACGGCCCAGGCGGCGTCAACTTAGTCGATATCGACGAACGGCGTGCCGACCCAGAAGATGTAGTCGTTGAGATGACCAAGCTGAGCGCCTTGAACAGGACGCAGTCTCCGTTTCACATGTACTCACTCACCTCACCAAGACCCCTCAGTGCCAGACGTGTACGTTGGTGAAGGCTCTGCCGAAACAGCCGAGAAATATTGAAACCAAATGGGTTTAGGTTCTAAGGCCGTACTCAGACCCCCCGCTGCTTTGGACATCGCACCACGATGGAGCACTGTTTTGCGGCAGATGAGCATTCGCAGGGATTTCACGGGGGAACGGCATACGTGACGTTTCGCGATCAATTTGCGAGTGTCTTGGCTGCGCAGGGGCTGCATGACAAGTCGGCTGTGCATGCTTGTAATTGCGAGATTCATCTCGAGCCCATGGGGGAGGAGTTATAGTATTGTTGTGCGGATGGGGCGAAACAGCTTTCACGAACCTGCGTGGAATTCAAGACTGCGCACGATGCCACTGCTCCGGCAACCAGAGACTTCTGGCTGTCGTTGAATGTTCGTACAGATGGGAAGGAGCACGTGCCCTGCTGGTGGCATCAGGCCTCCCGCCGCCGTTTTAGACGTTTGCCGTAATTTATTATTGTTTATGTCATAATGCGCGACAAGATAAAGAGGGGACGCCGATCTGGCAGGCGCGTTTCGGAGCGCCGTTTGGTTCCCCACTTGAGCCCTTTGGTTTCCTTTTTCCGCTTCGTGCCTCCGCCTGAGTCTAGATGCCGAGTGGCCAAGACTGGCGCCACCATGGTTTCAAGGATCTATATGGGGTATGTTCACCAAGCGGAAGGGATGGTTGGGTCTGGAAATTCAGTTGCACTCTTGGTTCTCTTGAGGGTCTCAACATTCACCATGAAAGAGGCGCGCGATAGGGCCATGGCCGAGGTAACTTCAGTCATTGCACAACCAAGTGATGCAGCTGGCCCTGTGGCCGCGAACAGTTCAACTATCCGCGAGCCTCCAGATGATGATGGGCTACTTGATCATCAAACTCCGCCGCCGCCCCCCCCCCCCCCCCCCCCTCCCAGGGATAGCGACGGCGAAGCTGACGAGCACGCGCCGCCACCGAACCCGCGGGGGAGAAACATATTTTACATGGGCGCTCTGGGCAGCATTTGAGCGCGGGGAGAAGTCGCGCGAGCGTCGTGGCCCCTATTGGCTATCTTCTTGCTTGTCTCTAATGCTGCGGGACGGCTATTCACGGCTGAGGCGGATCCCCACCCTGCGCGCCCGCGAGCGCGTTCTCGTCGCAGGTGAATGGGATTTGTCTCACGCGTGGCCGTCCCGCTGGCGGGATGCGTTTTTCGCGCGCGTTCGCTTGGCCGCTCCGCCGCCTCTTTCTCCCGTCGCAGGTTCCCCCCCCCCCCCCTCCTCCCGCGCGCGCGTCGCTTGACCGCTCCGCCGCCTCTCTCTCCCGTCGCAGGTTCCCCCCCCCCCCCCCTCCTCCCGCGCGCGCGTTCGCTTGGCCGCTCCGCCGCCTCTCTCTCCCGTCGCAGGTTCCTCCCCTCGCCCCTCCTCCCGCGCGCGCGTTCGCTTGGCCGCTCCGCCGCCTCTCTCTCCCGTTGCAGGTTCCTCCCCTCCCCTCCTCCCCCACAGGTCCGCGCGTCTACTTCGTGGAGAGCACCTACGTCCCTCGTCGGTTTTGCGGCTCGAAGGTCAGGACACACATGAGTACGGGTCATCCTGGGCCGAATGCCGACCCAGTGCGCAGTATGCCTGCGGATGCCGTATGCCGGCCACTTGTCCCCTGCGCTGTACTGCAAGTGCGCGCCGTATGCTGGTCCCTTGTGCGCAGTATGCCTGCGGATGCCGTACGCCGGCAATCGTTCCTCTGTGCAGTATGCCTGCAGTGTGTGCCGTATGCCGGCCATTGTGCGCAGTATGCCTGCGAATGCCGAATGCCGGCCCTGTACGCAGTATGCCTGCGATTGCTGCCTGTCAGCCCCTCTCCGCAGTATGCCTGCGCGCGCGGCTGTATGCCTGCAAGTGGGCGCCGTATGCCGGCCATTAAGCGCAGTATGCCTGCGAGTGCCGTATGCCGGCCCCCCCCCATAGCGCAGTATGCCTGCGTGCGTTGCAGTATGCCTGCAAGTGTGTGCCGTATGCCGGCCCTTGTACGCAGTACGCCTGCGGTTGCCGTATGCCGGCCCAGTGCGCAGTATGCCTGCGGATGCTGCCTGTCAGCCCCGGTGCGCAGTATGCCTGCGGCGTGCGTTTGCCTGCCCTCTTGCGCTGGGTGCCTGCGGGTTATGTCATGTGCAACCGCCAGCGCGCGATAAGGGCGCCGAGGGGGATACGTGCACGGCGCTTTCCGACGCGCGCGCAGCATCCATGGCGCTGGCTCGCTCAGACATCGTTGAGTTGCTTGGCGATCTGCCTGCTGGCGCATTCGGCACCGACAAAAATGCCATCAGGGCGCGCGCGCGCGTCTCCGTGCGTCTACCGCGGGCATGAGCCCACTCGCAGCGGCGCGCAAGGCCGATTGGGCCCTCTTCGTCGCAGCGGCCAACGCGGCGGAGGGGGGCGCATCGCCAGCTCCCGAGCTGGTGCTGTGCACCACGGTCGCGCGCCTGATGGCCGAAGCGATCGGGGCGGTCCGCCCGATTGATTACTCGGATGCGGCCATGCGCGATATGTTGATTGCGGCCCTGAAGCCAGG